GGTCTTTTTTTTTTTTTTTTTTTTTTAAAGATTTTCTGATTCTTTCTTTCTAAAATTTATTTGAGAGAAAGCAAAAGAGAGAAACATCGATTTGTTCCACTTATTTACGCATTCATTGCTTGATTCTTGTATGTGCCCAGACTGGGGATCCAACCTGAAACCTTGGTGTATCAAGATGATGCTCTAACCAACTGAGCTACCCCACCAGAGCCCCAGAGGTCATTCTTGGGAGCCTTGCAATTGGGCAGGGGTCCAGCCTGGCAGAGGCACCATACCTTCCACAGTGACGTAGTAGGTGTGCCGGTCACTGCCCAGTGAGTTCTCAGCCAGGCAACGGTACTCGCCATCGTCCTCCTCACTCACGTTCCGCAGATGCAGAGTCTTGTTGTGGTTCTGGTAGGTGACTCGGTCGGCTGGCATGGGGCCACTTGGGCGCAGCCACTTGATGGTGGGCGTGGGGCTGCCCAGGGCCACAGTGCAAGGAGGCCAAGGAAGAGAGTAGAAGGGAGAGAAGACAGGGCTGTTGAGCCCTGTCCCTCAGCAGAAACTCTGCCCGACCCCACCCAGAGCTCCTAGACTCACAAGCCCTCAGCGATGCACTCCAGGCTCAATGGCTGCCACTGCAAGGCCACCACGTGGCTGCTGGCGTTGGTAGGGAAGAGCAAGCGTGGCTTCCTGTCGATCATGCTGTTGGCTGTGAGGAGCAAGGGAGAGAGTGACTTTCGACACCCGAATGAGCCCTTGGGGTCTCATTTTCCTCCTTTGCTAAAGGGAGCGACCACCTCTGCTTTTACCACCTAAGAAGGGGTTTGGGAAAGGTTGAGGTGGGAGCCAAGCTGTCTTCGAGGAAGAGAGAGATCCTCTGATCTAAGGAATGGGCCAAGCCTGAGGTGAAAGAGGAGTGGGGGTATGTCAGAAACTTTGGGACTCACTGGTTTTGACCCGGAGGTCAATGGGTTCCTTTTGAATGATTGTCCGAGTGCCAGGGAAGTGGGCATGGCATATGTAGTCTGAGTGGTTGTCCGAGGTGAGCACATTCGCAAAGTAGAGGTTGCCATTCTGGCCCATTGTCACCCGCTCATCCTGTTTGATGTGCAAGATCTCTGTGGGAGTGGGGGTCAAGGAAGCAAAGGTCAGGACCCCCCATCCAGGAAGACATGCCCACTGGCACCCCCACCCCAGGTAGCAGCTCCTTGTGGGCACCCACTGCTGTTCATCCAATAGATCCGGAGTGGCTCTGCACTGGGTGGAGGGTGGCAAGGCAGAATCACTGACTCCCCTTCTTCTACCTCGACAGGTTTTACTGTCTCCTTTGGCCACTTGGGAGCACCTAGAAGGGACAGAGAGGCTGGCACGATGGGTCCCAACTCTCTTCTTGGTTAAGGCAGGTCAGGACAGGGGAAAGGCGGAGGGATGGCTGAGGGAGTAAGAGGGCCAGACCATGAGGAAGGTCACATAAAGGGAGGTAGAGACTTTGGGTCCTTTCTGGGCTCAGGGCTGAGACTGGCACTCCATGCAGGAGAGGATGGGCAGTCTGGATGGCTGTAAAGGGTTAACCCTCCACAATTCTCAGCTCCCAACCCCAGGACAGGACAAGGATGGGTGGGGGGAGGCTGAGGTGCAGCAGTGGGGGAAGGGAGCTGTGGAGGGATGCGGGAATCACAGACCCTTCCATCATCCTGACACAGAAACCATGGCAACGGTTCCCAAGGTAACCAGAGGGGCAGAGAGAGGAGAAGCAAGCTTGGGAGGCAGAAAGCTCAGGGAGGATGGAATGCAGAGGGAAAACCCCAGGGAAAAGGCGACACAGATAAAAGCAGAGCCAGAAACGCCAGGTTGGAGGTGGGGAGAAGAAGCAGGAGAGAGAGAAGAGGGGAAGCAGAGTGGTGGGGGAAGTGGAGAGAGATGACCCAAGAGTGGCAGAAAAAGAAATGGGACTGCAGAGATGAAGGGGGGACCGAAGCCCAAGCCCAGGCAATGACTCCAGACAGAGACAGGGCAGGCCAGAAGGAGGGACAATGCACGCAAAGAATCAACCCTCCACCCACTCTGTCAGCCAACAAGCCTGAGCCCACAAGCTCCCACACAAGGTCCCTGAGACCTGATCAGGGACCGTCTCATGTGTCCTAGGCCTTTCCCCCACCCCTGCAGTGCCTCGCACCCTCAGCCATGAGCTGGATCTCATGGGACATGGCGGTGCCCAGCTTATTGCTGGCAAAGCAACGATAGGTGCCCTGGAACCTCTGGGCAAAGTTGCTGTTGTTGCCGGTAATGGTGAAGGAGCCAGAATGGGGTGCTTGGTGCACGGTCACACCCAGCTCCTCCTTGGGTTTGAAGTGGATGCCATCCCGAGTCCAGCGGAACCTGTGGGCAGAAAAGGGCTCGGAGGACTGAGGCCCTGGAACCTGGATCAGGAGACAAGGGCAGTAGCAGCCAGGGGCCCCCGGGATAGGCTGGGATGGGTCAAGACCAAGGGTGATGAGGGAGATCTAGGGCTTCTGGGCTCATAAATTGGGAGGCCTAGGAGGGCTGAGGACTAGAAGTTGAGGTCAATGGTCAACAACAGGGCTTAGAGGGTGAAGGTCACTCACTGTACTTCGGGTTTGCCACTGGCCTCACACTTTAGGCTAATGTCATCTGTGGGGAAGACAACCAGGCGCTGTGGAGACTGTTCTGTGATGACAGGTGGTTCCATCACTGGGGACAGGATGGAAAGAGTGGTGGTGAGGATGACATCATGGCCTCAACCCCCATCCCATCATGAGACAAACTTGGTCTGGAGCCCCTGGAGGCCCCAGGGCCATGGGGGTGGGCAAAGAGTTAGAACAAGCTAAAAGCTAGAGAGACCAATTAGCTTAGCTATAGGCATGTGGGATATGAAAAGAGAGAAAGGGACACAGAATAAATGTAGAAAGGGACAGAACAGAGAGAAAACAACAACAAAAGTTACAAAGAAAAATGCTTAAAAGAGAGATGAAGCCAAAGAGAGAAGCAAAGAGTATGGAAGGAAAAAAAGAGACAACAAAACCAAGGACACAGAAACCAAGAAGGGCAAACCCCTCACGGGGAGAGAGGGGATCAGAGAGAACAGAGCACCAGAAAAAACAGCAAGAGTGATGGAGAAAAGCCAGGCCAGGACAGTGACAAAACAAAGACAGCCCACACAGGTGAGAGAGAGGTGGGCCTCCAACCTGAGACAGCGGGACAAGGACCCAAGAGCCAGAAAAGACAGGAGCCAGCACAGGACACATGGCACACAGGGAGAGGAGGAAGGAGAGTGGAACATGCTGACATTCCTCTTTCCCTCTCTCCCTGGCCTCCTAGAAAACACTCTCACCCTCCCCCAACTTACCGTGGTGTCCTTCATCTGAGAAATCCAGGCAGCAAGGGAGAAAGTGGAGAGAAATGCTGACACACAGCCCCAGCAGGGAAGAAGTAGACCCCCTGGGGAAGGGCGGGGTGGGAGAGGAGGCCATTGCGGTGTAACTTGCAGGGGAGGCACATGCCGGGTTGAAGCTGTGGCAAGTCAAGACCCAGGACAGGACAAAGCCCAGATCATCAGTTCAGGGGTAGGGCAATGCCCAGGGGGAGTCAGGCCTGGGTGTCAAAGGGCTGGGAGAGAGAAATGTGTGCCTTTAACAAGGAGTGCCCTTTGGATAGACGCTTGCATCTCCCTGGCAAGGCCTGCAGAACTGACCCCACCCAGGATGCTTAGGAAGGCTGGGAGGCAGACAGCCCACAGCCAATGCACCCTCCCCTGCTCCAGCCCACTTCCCTCCTAATCCAATTAGCAGGGCTCAATGTTTTCAATTACCCAGGCCCAGCCTTCAGAGCCCAGCAGCCTCCTCCCTGTGAAACCCTCCCAGAGGCCCTGCTGTATCTGAGTTTCCATCGCCTGCAGGGCTGACACAGTGCTGGTTTTCTCCCCTTCCTTCCTCCCAGTCTGCCACCAAGCTCCCTGGGGCTGAGGCCAGAGCCACTGCCTAGGAGCAGGACTCAGCCCAGCACTGGTCAGGGTGGCTGTAAAAAGGGAGGAGAGGGAGGGCAGGTAGGGCTGGGAAGGGAGCCGTTGGCTGCTTCTGAAAGCTTTGTGTCTGCAGAAGACCTCAGTGTGAGGGTCCCCATGAGAGTGGAGGGAGCTCCCCAGGGACCCTGCAGAGAGAGCCCAGAGCTGGGGAGGAGCCAGTGCAGGCAGCCCAAGAACAAGAGACGATGACGGGGACTACAGGATAGGGAAAAGTGACTGGGTGGAGAAAGCAGGAAGAGACAAAGGGGCCTGGATTGGCTGGGGAGCGAGCTTGAGCTGGAGGCCATATTGTATCGAGGTTAATACCAAGTCCAGGCCAGTGGCCAGGGCAGCCTTGGAACTGCCATGGTCTTTGGCCTACTTCTCTTTCCTGGCTCCTGCCTTTCTCCAAATTCTCCCTGCCTCTCCATACACAGATGCACCTGGCCAGATGGCCCAGCCCGTGTGGTAGCAGGGAGAGCTGATACCCAGGGTAATGCCTGAAAAGCAACTGAGAGGAGATGGAGAGGGAAGGAGGATGAGTATATGTGTGTGAATGTGCAAAAGTATGACACCGGCACATGTGTGGATGTCCCGGGGTGGACTGCAGTATGTTTGTGAGCATCCACCAGTGTATTTGTATTATAGGGGTGTGTCTTGCCAGGGTGCATCTGAAGGCTGTGTGTGCATACTTGCATTCAGTGTACAATTTTGTATTGAAAACCTGCCTGTGTGGATGACTGTTCTTTTGTGTCTAAACCCTTCATTCTTGTGTGTGTGCACATGTATTCATGTCCGTGTGCCTCCTATGTGTCCTCTTAGGGTCTCTGCCCCTTCTGTATCTCTGTGCCTGGCTAGGTACAGGTGGCTTGTCTATGTCTACCCATGTGTATGTCCATGTGCATATGTAGCTGGATGAGTCTGCATAGGCATGACTGCATGGACCTCCATGTATGTTTCTATGGGGGCATCCCCGACCTTTGTTATGTCAGCTACTTTCCACCTCCTCTAAACCCTTGCTGACCCCCAATGCCAGGTGCCTTCTAAGTCCACCTCCTTTGGCCCCTGTCCCATTCCTGGCATAGACAGTCTTTCTTACTCCTAGCTCCCAGCTCATTTCTCTGGGACACTGGCCTCCTCCAGGTCCAGGCCCAGAGACAAAGGTGGCAAAGTGAGGGGGGAAGGGATTGGAGCTATGGAAGGAGCAGGCTCAGGATACACAAATGCTACCCTGTGAAATGCCCCTCACTGAACCCTAACAGTCATTTAGAGCAGTGCTTACATCTCCTGCTCACACTCAGGAGAAAAGACCATCACAGTAATATACTCCCCCTAGCACAAACAGGTACTCACATGCAGCCCCACTCAGATGCACACACAACCCACTACAATCAAACGTTAACAGTCAAATACCTATAGACCTTCACAAACCTGACCAATAAGTAACAGTTCTGGTGACTCACAAACTTACCTATATAGGAAATCAAAATTACACTCAGGAATCACTCTCAGGGACCACACTAAGTCAATCATAGGCGCGCACATCCACAGATACAAATATTCAGACTGTCCAACTCACAAGCATAAACGAATAATCATGTTCAGTCACAATCCTCTAGTTACAATCCCAAACACCCCCGCACCTACCTGTGATCCCCCGCAAATGTAATGCTCCAGCAGGTCCACCTCCCAGACCCACCAAATAACTACGCATTAAATTGTTGGATCCAGAAGCCTGCTGGCCTTTGCAAGGTATCTTTTCCTGTCTCAGTTCATAGGGCTACATGGGCCCAAAATGAGATTACCTAAGTCAGAGTTGGATCAAGACTTGAATCCAGGCCTTTGCACAAGCTAGCTGAGCACTGGGGACAACCCCATTTTCCCGCCCATCACGCCTCTGGGGGAGGGGTTTTGGAGAGGTGGGGCGGACCGAGGAAAAGCACAGAGAGGCCCAAGGAGGCGGGTCCAGGGCCAAGCCCTCTGTCCGTGGTGCTGAAATTTCCCCGGCTCGCCCGCGTCACTGTTTCCTGTCCATGGTGCTGACACCCCGCGCCTTCCATCCTGTTCTCTCTAAAGGTACCCAGTGTCCTGGGTACCTCCTGCCCACTCCGTGCCCAAGAAAGGAGGAGTGAGGGGGAAAACGGTTAAGGGTCCGAAACTCGGAGAAGGTGAAGAGTTAGAAGATAAAGAGGAGTAAAGCGTGGCGGTGAAGGGAGGCGCCAAGGCTCCCTCCAGCTACTCACATTCCTCGGGGATCTGGATGAGCAGGCAGGGGCTGCACAGGAGAGGCCACAAGTACCACAGCGCCACGGCCATCTTCCCGGCGGCGCCGGCGGCTCGGCGCGGCACAACCTGCCGGACTCAGGCTCCGGCGGGGTGGGAAGGGGATTGATGGACGGCTTGGAGTGGAAGCTGGGGGTGGGGGGCACTGGGAGACGGGAGGAGGGAAAGGAAAGGTGAGGGAGGAGAGAAAAACGGAGGGTTGTTAGTTACTAACATCTGGGCGAGCCAGGGCTCTTGGCCCCGCCCCC